ATATGATCCTTTAGAATGCCTTACGATAGGTATAGATAACCAATATGATAACTAGTAGGGTTGTGGATCACAGTAACCAGCCCGTATATAGTACCACTAGGGCCTACCCTGTCCCCTCTTGTAGAGCGGCTAGTATTGGTATCCTGCAGTTGAGGTTGGTACATGTTCCGAGTTGCCTTCAATCGTCTGGGTGCTGCTGCTCAGCCTAGTGGTGGTGTACTACAAGGCCTCAAAGCTAGTGGAGGGTTCAAGGCAGCATTCAGGGAGGTACTCTCAATGCCCCCCCCATGACGTTGGTATATTCGGTTATTAGTCAACCTTCTGGAGCTCTCCTGCTGTGATGGGGACCACATTCCTAGCTGTCCTATCCCTCCCCTTCGTATACCGTATTGGATCGGCCATGTATTGGACTAAGGAATTGAGGAAGCTCAATGCTAGGGAGGTCATCAATGACCGGTAATTACCTGCTGTCATCATCATCATGTGTAGGGTCCATTTAGGTTCAATTGGCTACATACCGAGATGCTGGATGATGAGGTTACTAAACAGTGCGCAAAGCAAACCCCTAAGGGATTACAGATGATTGGTAACACCGATGCTTCTTAATTATCTGTGATGGTTCTGTGGCTGGTGACCGTAGTTGTTCTTCTTGTGCCTTATAGGTAACAGTGGTGTAGTGGTATGAGCTTGTGAAAGCTGAGTGTCAGCCCGTTTTTATCACCAACTCCTCCTCCTCATCATCACTATTTCTGCACTCTTCGCCCTTGTGTATGAAGTTCGACATGATGTTAATGAGGGGGGGGGACTATCGAAGAACCTGTATATTTAAAGGGATCATGCTTCAATTGGTTATCATTAGTCTATCAATCTTGGCCGCAAGGCAGATGACTTGTCATTATGAGTAAACTGGAGGTAAGGGATACTCTTGGATGGGATGCCAACTCTAGGGATATGTTGCTCTTGGTTACGAGGATGCTTGAGACACTCCAGGATCGAGGGGTAGTAGTAGTATGGCACTAGGTGCCCATCTAGTGTACTAATCCAATAGGTACTCAGGTCAGCTGGGGATGTACTGAGATCAGAAGCTGAAGCATCTGGTTTATACGGGTAGACACTGATAGGATAGAGGGCAGCACTCTCTACTCTCAGGCCAAGACCTTATTCAGCCATTAGGAATCTGGACCTTCATGGAGTTCCAGGGGATCGACTATTAGATGTATGCAATGGGAGGTAGTAGTTGCCTCGGTCAAATAGGGTTCTTGAGGAGCTGTAGGTCTATATTGCATCCCGAGAGGGGTTCGGATGATAGCAGGATCGACCAGGATCATAGATGGACGACATCTGCATATCGATCGTTCTCGAGACGGGCGGCATATCCTAATGTAGGACGACGACGAATACCACCTATCAACCCTTTCCTATTCGATATACTACATGATGCTGCTTCATATGCTGATTATACCCTTCCTAGGTTGATCATCATCACCGTCCTTCCCCTCTGGCCTTATCTCTACTCCATTGTCGCAAGCTCCAGCGTGTATGGTCTGTATTCGGTCATCGTACACCAGCACTAGGAGTAGCTGACGATGTAGATGAATCTACTCAATATCAAGCAGTTCCAGTGTAGACTCCAGTGTGATGTACAGGACGAGAAGGCTACTAGCTCTTAGGTATTGTGTCCGTTTTGCATGTAACTCCCGTGTTATCGTCACTGGTGGGGATGACTATCGATTGAGGGTATGGGAGACTAAGACGGGAAGGTTGAAGTCGACTTTGGCTGGCCATACTGGAGAGGTATAGCAGTCAGGGAAGGTCTATCAATAGCAGCATACCTAGTTTTAGGTCATGGAAACTGCTGTCAACTACTGTGATACGATAATTGCCTCGTCTGCTACTGATAAAACAGTAGGAGCACGTCGATACCTCAGAGGGGATAGAGTCACTCAGGTACGGTTATGGAAGGTGAGTGATGAAGACCAACAAAGTCGTCCTTTAACAACTCTCCAATTCACTGCTGAGGTCCACTTTATGGCTTTCTCTCCATCTAAGGATCATGAGCAAGTAGGAGCTATAAACTCTTGGTCTGCTATATAGATGCTGCTTACTATTAGGTCTTCATAACAGTTACATGTGATGGTGGTATTTTTATATGGGATCTAACTACGGTCACCAGAGACAACGGGGGAGAGGTGCTTAGTGCATATTGCAAGTATTGCTCCTAGTCATACGAAGATAACCCTTATTGGTCCTAGCAGGTATTATCTTGATGTTGAGAGTAAGCTCATACGGGGATTTGATATTTTCTCGGGACCTAAGATAGGCACTAGGATGGTAGAAGACATCTCCGGTAAGACCTCACTGTGATGGTTGTGTATCTATTGTTGGTAGATCCTTCCTCTGTGGAGGGGTACACTAATCGATATTTGAACTTCTGGTTTGCCGTTGGATGTAGTGATAAGTGTGTTCGGGTCTTCTCGGTACAACCACATGGCGATAGACCGGTTAAGATGGACGTTAGGAATCCCGAATTCGTCAAATACCATCATTTAGAGTACCATCCCTACCTTATAGCTCCAAGTACTATTCGGATCACAGGTTCGAGCTCAGTGGTGTCCATACCCAAATAGTGTCCCATGTGTGTTTTGATAACCTAAATGGTGATTGTGCATCATCTGATGATCATGGTGGCCTCGTATTATGGCGTCTATCCTCATCAACTATGTATAGTAGGCCCAGGCAGAAGTGGATAGAAGCTTTGGTAGGGTTGAAGAGGTCCTCCTTTTCTTGTAAAGTGGTATGCTTTGAATGTTCAGCGTTTGTCGAGCCCTTTAAACCCCCTTCCTGAGTATATTGAATTGGTACGGCCTATCATCCCAACTGGTGATTCAATCATCCGAATGTGTGTGGACGGTGAAACTACACTATGTAACCTATCTAAGGTAAGTTGATAGTTTTCATCGTAGCTCGTTCATGTGTGGATAGGCATGCCCATCGGTTCAAGGGTATTGGGGGTATCACGCTATACGAACCTTTTCTTGGACGGCTGATGACAAGTAGTAGTAGTAGACTATCAATCCGATAGTCGGGAGTAAGAGTGATGGACGCTGATCAGGTATATTATCTGTGGGGTAGCAGAGAACCCAGTAGAGGCATCGAAAGACGAGACACCTACTGTACCAACAGAAGGTCGACAATACCGCTATGGTGCACTAGTAGGTCCCTCGTCATTAGCAGCAGCAATATCCCTTCATCCCCATAGGTGTTCGAGGCCCCCTCTGCACGACTAGTTGATGCTGTTATGCATCCTTCTTTGGTTAATGGGGAAGTCTATGTGGCTTTACCGGTACCTACCACTTTGTATATGTCCTGTTATGTTGTGCCTTGCAGGCTAAGTTCCTATACCCCTGGTTATTCTGTCTATGCTCTTATGATGGTGGTGTGACCTTGTGGAGTATAGATCCTCATAAGAGCCGAGCTCAAGTTGTGAATAAGTGATCTACTCGAGTTACCATGGTATACCGACGTTCCTCCCAGGTTCGATCTCTCTAGTTGCTACACTGATGATCCTCATTCGTCGAGGCAATTCTGTGATGGTCAATTCGATGGTAGAGGGGACTTTGTGGTGACAGATAACCTTGGATGTGTAAGCATATGTAGTCTTGCTTATGGCATATGGTGGTGGTGGTTCAATTCAGGTACACTACTTTTCAACTGGAGAGCCTGCATTATCGGGTAGTTCATTAGCAGCTCCATTAGAGGAACAGTTTTTCGAGGGGGATTACCTTATGGGCGTAAGATAGTCATACTACCTCTATAATGGTAAGCTTATAACAGGTTCATTGTACAGCCCCTGGTGAACGGTTATGTGATGCTCGTATGAGACCATATCCAATGAGCATGCTTTATTACAAAGGACATGCTACTGCTTCCAGGAGGCTGCCTCATCGGCAACGATCGGCTAAGTCGGTGTATCTAAGGGGACTACCGACAAGGGGAGAGGGGTAGTACTTAGGATGGTTCGGGGATGGTTCGGGGATGGTATGCTCATCCGATATGCAGATATGTAACGATAATGTCACAACCAGTGAGTGGGGAGGAGGCTGTAGAGGAGGGGGCTAGAGATATTGACAATGCCAGTTATGCTACACTAGTTAGACATTCAACAGGGTAGGATGGGATGATGCCTCCTACGGGGTAGTGGTGTATGTTAGTCATTCGGAGGCTAGTGAGGATGGATCAAGAAGGATGACGACTAGGTCTGGCAGGACAGTCCATAGGTTACATTGGGGTTCATGGAGGTTAATGTTAGTAATATTACTCAGGCCACAGAATATGTATGAACAATACCAGCCATCAGACTACATCGATGATGATGATGAGGAAGACGAGGATAGTGACGACGATCGAGAGTTCCTTGCCACTAGACCCCATGGGACGAGCTCTGGTCAGAATCATCAACTACGACGGAGACGTCGTCGTCGTGGTCGTGGTGGTGGTCGTGGACATCGGAGGCCTCGCGGCAGTGAGGAGGTGCATGATGGTATGTTGATAATGATACCTTCTCCCTCTTCCTCATACTACTACTATCATTCAGAGTCTACACAAGAGACAACGACTCGGCGTAGATTGATCCATGGTCTACCATCAATACATGTTGTAGCCTTCAATGCTGAGATACCATCTAGTGTATGCTGTGAACTCTGCCACTCATCTGGTCCATCTAAGGCCGTTGGAGAGCTCTTAGGACCCTTCGCCGAATTCAAGTAGGAATTCAAGCCTACAGTACCCTCTCATTGTGGGTGAGTCGTCCTCCTTCTCTTTAGTGAGGATAACCTTCCAGCCTTCCCCCATATACCACTCCTACGCCAATCTAATAATACCACCGGATCCCCTCTACTCTATATTCATAGTGGATGTTTAATGGCTTCTGATGGTATACGTATTGAGCTTAGAGATACACCCCAGTCAACAGGAGGAGGAGGAAGGCCGCGACAAGTCTTGGTTGTGGATGACCTTAAGAGGATATTGAGGCGTGCGGCTCGGACAACATGTCATGTTTGTGGCAACAGTGGGGCCTCAGTGATATGTCAGTCACGCGTGAGCTGTCGTGGTACCTCGGCTGCTCACTTGAGTTGTTTGAGATCGGATGAATCGTTCAAAGAGCGGTATAAGATGGATAAGTTGATCGATGGCATCTATCGGTGTAATGCCTGTCTACCACTAGATCATCCAAGAAGTGTTAGAATAACGAATACTGTATTGAAGAACTACATTGATCCCACTTGGAGAGGTCTTAAATGCCTTAGAGAGTGGTTATTGGTTACCAAACATAACCCTAATATTGATACATATGTCCCTCAAGTTGGTGATATAGTACGATACTTTCCCCCACAAAAACCAGAACTACTACTTACCTATGATGATGTAGATCCATTCTTCTGGTGTGCTGGCGTATCAGATCGGCATGCTCCAGTGAGTAGTAGCCTTCGGACGCTCCTGTGTAACATGACCATACCCTTAGGTTGACTGTAGGATATTGGCGAGACCTCCTCCATCATACCTCTTCCCTGGAGAGCAAGATCAGAGGCGTATAGCTGCTGCTGAATGCAAGTCGATAAACCCAGCCGATACCACACCATTCAATAACTTGGTCATCGTACGTTTAACAATGGAAGTAGGCATCAGCTACACAGAGGCCAACGATAGGCTCATGTAGGTAATGGCTCCTCATCCAGCAGCAGGCAAACGTTTCATACTACATTATCGTCCCTCTGATGGCGATGCCGATCTACTAGTACCAATACCTCGTATTAAGGCTGCCTTGGATTATTGGCGGGCACGACCTCCACATAACGGCTCTCAAGGTCGGATCAAGTATGATGCCGACTTTAGTACTGTTGACATCATAAACTATACTGATGATGATGATGATGGGCAAGATGAGATCTCTTTATTGGCTGCTGTTGGTCAACAAGAAGATGAAGCTAGATCAGTAGAGGGGGATACAGTCATCACAACCTCTTCTTGGACAGTAACAGTACCACGACTCATAGGCTGGAAGAATATTAATGTGAGAATAGCTCCAACGAGTCATGTGATACGTATATCTATTCAGGTGAGGGATGTTAGCCCTACAGGAGAGGGAGATAATACCTCCTCATCATCACAAGTTGGTGAGGATATGACGGCTCGGGGGCAGCAGGCATTTGATGTCTGTGCTTGGGAGTTGGTACCTCCTCAACAAGACACATCACCATTTAATATGCTTAAAGATAATGATGATGGTTGTTGTGATAGTTATGATACTGGAGAGGTATCATCATCTGCATCTGCATCATGGCGTTGGCCATGGTGTCTTACTCCAGAGGAAGAGGAGGTTGCTGATATATCGGGTATGATGCCCTCCTATGCCCCTATACTATACAGTGCCTCAGATGAATATGATCATTTCCTTGCCGCAGCTCCATGCACATATCCTCCTGCTCCAAGTGAGTCTAGAGCTAACCTCATTATAGCATGGCTTGAGAGGATGAGGGAAGCCCCCCTACCTAGAGGACATTGGCTATTACTGCAATCATCATACAATCATACAACCATAGGAGGCAATCCACAAGTATCAAGCACAGCATAACCATCATCATCATCATACTTTTTGTTATATCAGATATCACCGCCGCCTGCTCCCCTTGAGCCTGAATCACTCCAACGTGTATGTATACTAGTACACGAGTCACCATTCGAGTCGGCTGATTACTCGAGAGACTTCCTTATAGACAATGCGTACCCGATGTGGATAGGTCTCATTGAGGAAAGGCTCAAGCAAGTAGTAGGACTGTGTTGTGAGTGTCCATTGCCGAGTTGTTATGGTTCTTAGTCCTCTTATTATCGTGGTATGGAGCCTCTACAAGAAGACCTAAGACTGCTAGTTCATTGTCATCGCTACTCCTCACTAGATATACGTCACTGTGTTCAATGCATAGTTGATGGTCTCCTGAAACTATGTTCTCTTACTGATAGGGAGCTTACTCATAGGTAGTATCATTAACCCATAGGCTCAGGATTATAATGTCGCTTAGGTCTAATCAACCACCACCACCACCTACATCGACTACTGTTGCTGAGGACCCAGGTCCACAAGCTGACCTCACCAACACACCATCGCGAAAACGGCGTACTCTAAGGAGTACACGGTCATCAGTATCAGCAATGAATAGTTCGGGTAAGGATAACTGGATACAGTGCTCAAGGTGTAACAAATGGCGACGAGTCGTATTGTCCATCTATGAACGGTAATAATAAGCGTAGTAGTAGATCATCTTCTGTTGTTGTATACAGGCATCTATTGCAGGTATCAAGGTGATGTACAATTTGAGTGTAG